TATATTATTATTTATTACTTATACTTATACTAGCATAAATTGATTACACTTCTTAAGAATGTGCGAAATGCACGAAAGTACTATACGGGATCAAATTGAAACTTCAAAAGCCTGTGCTCTTGTTAACAGCTGTAAAACTAACTGTATTTTTCGATATATCTATAAATTTTCGATTTATATTAACTGCAATGCTGTTAATTTCTCGTGAATATATATTTATATCGAAAAAATTTACAACTTAATACCATTTATTAATCTAATAATATTTAATCTATTTAGCTAATTTATGTCAGCTATTATTTTAATTAATTTACCTCTACAAATGCAACCGAGGTAAATGCGCGCTACTATCGCAAATACTCTTAAAGCTTTTACTTGTTATGCCGATTATGAACAATCGCATCATACGATATAAATCAGGGTGACCCCATTGGAAATGACACCAAATAATCGTTTATCGTTTGCCGACGTAAATTTAAAAAAGTTAAACTGTTTCACTTTGTAAAAAATATATATTAATTATATAAATGAAATTATTTTGTATGAAGTGCAAGGCGATGTCTGGCTCTTTTGTGCTGCCGCAGGACTCGTTGCAATTGCGCTCTAAGTCTCTTCACCGAGATAGGCCTATTTTTTGGTATGTTGGAATCTAAACTCTCTTTGTTCCTCTTACTCATAGCACTATAATTCCCATAATGCCAGTTATTTCTTCTAGGTGCTGGAGTTGTCACAAAGTATTCAATGCGAGCAGCTGCTGGCGGAGCTGCTTCGTATCTCGCTCGCTTTATTTTGTCATCTCGCTCTCGCTGCAGCTGATGCTCCTCCCGCACCTTTTGTTCTAGTTTCTGCTCCTCTCTCAAGGCTGCTGCCAAACTCTCGTCGGTGTTATCCTCGCCAAGTGGTCTCAAACCAAAGTAGAAGCCGCGATTGTGCTTAAAGGGTGATTGTGTGGTGGGCATTGGCGTTGGCCTATCTAAGCGCTCTTTCTGCTTGCCTCCAGGCGGCGATTCGCTTTGGGACTTGTCATGGGGCAGAGGTGGAGGCATTGTCTTATTGGTGTCCGTCTTATGTTTGTGGCCCCTGGATTTCACACCTGGCCATCTCTTATGTATCTCGGTGTCCAATTGATTGAGCTTTTTAATAATCAGACACGAACGCTGCTTCATATTCTTCGTCAGCTCCAGCAATCGAGCCACTTTCTGCATAACTTTCTTCTTACAGAGTTTGGGTTTGGCTTTGCCTTTAGTTTTGGTTTTGCGCGCCGGACAGGTGTCCTGCGAGCTGGGACCCTCTTGTTTGCCCTTTGTCTTGCAAAAGTGAAAGAAGGGCGCATGTAAGTTTTTAGCCTCAACACTTTTGTCTGCTAAAGATTCATCCATTTTACCCTGCTTCAAACTCATTGCTATCAGGTGCTCGAATGCTCGATCCGCAGATTCACTTTCCATGCGCTGATTGTCTTTGTGCCGTGCAGCCAGCGCCGAGGACACCAGCAACTYCTGCTCCTGTTGCTGCTGCTGCTCCTGCTCCGGGCTGTTATTGCTCAGCCAGTGCAATAGTTTCTCATTTTCGTTGAGACTCCGCAATCTTGGCCTGCCAGCATCGGCTCTCACTTTATTCCCATGGCTAGCTCCTCCTGCACTAATCCCGAATTGATTTCTGTTCAACAGCTCGAGCAAACTATTGAGATTCGCGTTTGCATCCAGGGTGTGTCGCTCAGCTGAGGCCTGAGGCTGCACTTGTGATTGAGTGCGGCGCTGCTTCCTGCTGTAAGCCTGTCCATTATTGTCAGCATTCACTGTACTGCTGGGCAGTGAGTCGTGCGCCACAATTGCCACAATTACCATTAGTATAATTCTCACTCTGTTGTGTATCACATTTGACATTGTTTTCCATACCAAAACATTTTGTTGAGCACAAAGTGCGTTCACAAGTGCTTTTGACTCAGTGATGGCAATTTAGCTTTTATTTTATGGTCTGGTGTTGACAGGTTTTTGGCTGCCTTTTCTACTTGCACTATTAAACAAGCAATTTGTGAATCAGTGTATTTTATATATTTTTTGAATATTGACAATTATTAAATTCTATTTTGATCAGTCAATCGCTCAGTCTATCAGCTTATCAATTTTGTTTAACAGTTTATCAATGAAATTCTTTATCAAGTCAGTTTTATAGATGCATATGTACAATTTACAAAACGGGCTATTATTTCTATCAATAAATCATTCAATCAATCAATCAGACAAGCAGACATATTGAATACAACTTGTTTAAGGTAGAAATGTAATATTTTTGTGTAAATAAATGTGCAGTTAATCAATCGCTTAATCATCAGTAATTAGGTAATACTACATAAACATAGATAAGCATTATTGCCAAAGAAAATCTTCACTTAGACCTCCACAATCTTCTTCTAGGCAATTCTATCATTTCAGTTGACCTTTTCGTCAAAGTGAGTTCGTCATTAATCAATTTCTTAATCAATAAATACATCTTTATATATAGACGTCTCTAGATATATCGAGGCAAACGTAATTTGTTACTGAGCGTGTGGCACGCATGTTGGAGGCCTTGCGTTGGTGACGCAAACATTTGCCACTGCATTGCCGCAAGTGCAAAGGCAACTCAACGTTCGACCACTGGAAGTGGCCTGGAAGTAGCCTGGAAGTCGCCTGGAAGTGTCTGAAACGCACTTGGGTGACTCAACGGCCTGTCGCAGCCCATGTTTCAGACAGTCGAATTTTCTACATCGAACGCAGCAGTTGGGCTTAGTCCGAGGACTTCGTCGTCCCACAGACAAACTAAATACATAATTGAATACAAATTATACTATACTTTTGAGTGCCTGTCTAAGGGCCTCCTGCTCTAGGGATTCAAACTACGCTCAAGTTTGTTTCCGAGTGACGGCATCGATTTCGTAGTTTTTTAAATGCCACACAAACGCAAAAGACACAAAAACTGAAAGGATTCCGTCGCCCGCTCCATAAGAAAACCAAAATAGATCCGTGGCGTAGTCGTATTGTGCCTTACCAAGAAGGATTCGTTGTGCCATGACTGTTTCCAATATGCACACCAAATTAATTATATTGATTTTATTTTTCTATAACGGTTCCTACAATTGGAGTAAAAACTTCTAAAGCGACTAAACTAAAAACGTTCGACCCTTTCCCTTCCTCCACAGGCGGCGACCGTCTGCGTGGAGTGTGTGTGTGCTTGAGTGCGTGCGTGCTTGTGTGTGTGTGTTTACCAAGTTAGTGCCGTTAGTGCTTGTGACTGTGTGCGCGTGTGAAATAAACGGTAAGCTTTTCTCATTACAATCACCTATTATTATACACAAGGCCCCAATACCCACGGGGGCCGTCTCACTTCATTGTTTTTCGCTGTTCATATTGATTTTATAATTTCGCCATGAAAAGCGCATTGGCCAACAGAAACAACAACAATTACCCCAACCCAGCCCAAACCACCCAAATGCCAGCAGGACTCGCGACAACAGCGACAACAACAACAAGCAGCACCAAAGTAGACAACAAAGAAATTCCCTTCCTCTCTCTATTGCTCTCATTCCCTCTCTCTCTATCTCTCTCTTTTTCTGTCTTTTCCTTTGATATATGCAAGGCAAATGCGCAAAACATCTGTGCTGCCCAGCTTTGGCTACAGTGGCGTACCAAAATATTGTATACAGCTCGATGGGTAAATTTAGACTGAAGCGCTGCAGTTTCTTTGTTCTCCACAATTGTTATGAACCATATGGCACACAAGTAGAGAGGAAGGAAATGTCATAAATAAATAGAGCTGCACAAACACGGTAAACGAACGACATCAGCTAGTTTAATTTTTATTTATTTATTTACAATTTTAAACCTATATAAATTAAATATTTAGCTAGCTTAATATATTTAAAGATTTCGAGTCAATAACATATGGGTGTATCTTTTTGGCATATGTAAGTTAGATTAATTTATAGTTATTATAGCGTATTACCCACAAGGAACTGAATATTTGCAAATATTCAGGACGCCACTGTAACGAATCAATGCACTCCCAACGTTCATCGTTCCATTTTCCTTACCTTTGTTACACACACGAAGAACCATATGTATAGATTCCAATAAATTCAACTGGAAATTCCAAAGAGTTCACGAGCCTGCGCACTGCTCCATCCATCCTTCAGTACGCAATGTTTTGATAGTAAAAACGAATGTGAAACGGAGACGAGGATAAATGCAGCCAACGCACCAATACTAATAGCACGCGGTTGAAAATTGTTTACAAATAAGCGGAACGCCACGTGGCACATGGCACATACAAATCGACGGCCATTGGAAGAATGTGGACAATGAATATGCTTCTGCATGTGTGCATGTGTGTGGGTATGATGTGTGATGTGAGTGGGTGAATGCATTAGTGGGTACTCTTCTGCTCTGGGAGTAGAATTTCGTGCAAGCTCACGCACCGGCCGGCTACAATCTTTAATTTCTTTGGGCCTACGGGACGCCTTGATGACGTCGGTGCTGTGTCGACATTGAACTACTTACAACGGCACTCGTCACATATGTACATATGTGGCCCATTGGGCTGAGCTTGGTGGCCACGTTCATATTTCGTTGATGACGTCAGCAAAGTTTTATTTATGGCCCGAACAACAGTTAATCCAATTTGCAACCGAAGCTCGAAGACATTTCAATTTGTTTTCTCACTTTACGACTCTGGCTTCCGGATCATTCGGCGTATACGTGACGTGTTGATTTCTCGCCAATCGTAAATCGTTCATTGGCTCTGCGCTTGAGATAGGAAACCTTAATTAGTTATTTAATTAAAAATGAATATGCTTAGATTATGCAGACTTATGCTAAATATGCCCTCAATTGATTTGATTTCACGTTCACTTTGACAAATATATCTATCTAGTACAAATATATTTTAGTTTCTCGAACATACTAATATATATGAATGCATATATGTATATATGTATATAATATAGAAATTGTTTGTGTGCAATTAAAAATTTGGGCAGTCGGCATAAACATAAAGACGAATGTTTGCAACAATTGTGGCAACAACAATTGCAAAATTGCATTGCCTCAAGGTCAAATGGCAAACTGTCTGAGAGCGCCTAGGGTTTTACAACTTTGCTAGACAGAATGATAGGTATTTGCTACGACGCAAAAGCACCTCAACTATATGGCAGCTATATAATAGAAACACATATATTGCAGATGAACGAAAGATCATAGAGGAGGGGTCGGATGTTGAGGAGCGGAAATTGAGGATTGTTTTTATTTCGTTTTCATTTCAAGTCTAGTTCTTTAGGGCTATATAAAGAATAATAGACCCGATAAACTATGCTAATTCATATATCAAACATATGCTTTAACTGCTCTAACTACGCAATAAACACGTTTATTTATTTACATTTCGATAAGAGTTTCAACAACATCATAATGATAACGTCAATTTGCAAACAATGTCTTAGTACCATCAAAAGCTAGCTCTAATTCTCTCATGGAATTTTCCAACACTTAAATTGCGTATATGCACAACACGCACCCCATTTATTTTTGCATTACATTATTTATTTATTTATTTGTCATTCCATCTCAATATTAAATTGAATTAAAGCAAATCTTCTCTTTTCTACTCATTACAGTTACCGGATTCTCGTCTTTTCTCCAATTATCAAATCCCCTATTTTTGTTTACACAACAACAAAAATATTGACACGATTGTACGTAGCAAAACAAACTTCGCGTTAATCGCTCCTGCCGTTTCTCCCCCCATTCTGTCTGTTGGCTTAAAGCCCTGTGGAATTTTTAAAGCTTTTTTTGCGTCACATATTAAGGTATATATGTATATAAACACATACACATAGACGTGCGAGTGTGTGCGAATAGAGCGAAAAACAAGAGGAAACCAAAGCAAAGGCAACGCAAAAGCAAACGCAAAGGCAGCCAGCGAAACTGTGCCAGCCCCGTCGCTGTGCCCTCGCCGATATCAAAGACAATAACAATAGCAATTGCGATCGCCCGTCGTCGTCACCCACCCCAAAAAAAAAGACAAAAACAAAAAAGCAACAACCTAGAGCTGTGTATATAAACACGCTCGTATCAGCGAACTGTGTGCATTCAGCATTCGACATCGAAACAATCGTCGCTAAAAGAGCTCAATTTTCAGTCGCATTTCGACACTCGTTGGGAACGGATCACGAACGGACCAAAGCATACGCAGGGCCATCTGTGCGAAAAAAATAGACAACTGCAAGAGTGCATATACTTTTAACGGTATATGTAGAAACGTATTATAATATAAAAAAATATATATTAAGCGGACAAAGTGTGCAAGAAAATCCACTTCGATGTCGATTAATTCGCCAATATTGTTGAAAAACTCTGACCTGCATTAAACAGGCAAAAGCGATAAATACCAAAACAAAAAGAAAACCGATTTAAATAAAGGTTAATTTCGTAGCAGAAGAAAAGTAAAGAAGAAAAGATACTTATCAAAGACATTAAATTCACTTTAGCAAATCAACAATAAGTTGTTTGCTTTTTAGTTCGCGTTACGGGTTTTTTTTAATTTCGTTGTGTTTTCCATCGACAAGAAAAGAGAAAAGTGCAAACAGTTTGAGAACAACTGCAAGCAGTAGACATCAAACTTCAATTTTGTGTTATTCGATATTTTCAATCAAACGGAAAACAAAAACTCGTCTGAGCAGTGTAACACATTGACAAGAACAACAACAATACAGCAACAACACTACACAACAAAACAACAAGTTTGTTTATTGGGCTTAGGCCATTGTATGGGTAAGTCTTTCATAATAAATGTATAACTATAACTGAAACTATATAAATTTCTATAGTGTTTGGTGCAAGCATACCTTTAGTTTGGGTACGGCTTTCCATGCAAGTTATTTTCTCCTATGCTACAGTTGAAGAGTCACTGTTAGCGTTTGCCTAACAACAGGTGGCCGGAGCTAAAATATTTTTAGATCGCAACTTTATATTTTTAGACATGCGTTTTACTGTCCGTTTAGGTTTTGTTGCCTAACAACAGGTGGAGCTAAAATGAATTTAGATCCACATAGAGTGCTTTGAGGTATTTTAGTACATTTTTGTATTTAGTACACGTCGCTGATTCATATTCACTCGTAAAGGGCGTTAATTTGTAAAATCACAGTTCATGTGACTCACATATAGATTATTTTTTAAACAAACAAAGCAATTCTATGGCGCAATAATAATACTAATTTTAATTGAAATAAATAACAGTATGCTGAAAACCTTGAAATGCATTAAGTTAAGTTGAAAGCAACGTAAAGTTCGTGGAAATTCACGTTTGCCACTCTCAAGTGGGCGGAACAGTTGAGCACATGAACCAGACACGTGCTGGCTCCCCCATCGCCCCATCGCCCCCTCGACACGTCGCCCCATTGCCCCTTGTTGTTGCGCCATGCTCGATTGGGCATCATCCGGTGCTTCATTGCCGAGTTTCCAACGGCTCTCTATTTGATTTTTATGAACCCAGCGCATAATCAGTCAGACTTTATCAGCACTTGGGGCTAATTCTATATAACTACGCGTGACTTTCATTCATATATATATTATATACATATGTACAGATGTCTCTGCCTATAAAGTAATGTGTACCCAAGTCAAATAACAAGTTAACGGCATGTCCCGTCATCTCTCCTGATTAACCTTGAGTTGTTTATTAGCCCCAGATGATTTTCTTGTTAGGCTGAATAACAACTGATGCAGCTCGTATCATCATACAGATAAGGCCCTTAGACTAGAACTGTGCTACCTGAGCTAGGTCACGTGGAATTTTCCTTTTTATTTGGCAAATGCTCAAAATGTTGAGAAAGCAATTATAGAAGATATATAGTATATATGCATATGTCTAAATAATGGGATAGTTTCATTGCATATAAGTCTTATATAAGGCATAGTCTATAGAAATGTAAAAAAAAAAGATAATAAATATATCTCCAAACTAGGTTTTAAACGCAATTAGAAGCTTGTTGGGGACTTGAAATTGATAAAATATATATAATTAAAGAAAGAAAATTGTAAAAAATTAATAATAAAAAAAAAAATCTAACCTTATTTAACTAAAAAAAAATCAATAAAAAAAATGGGGAAAAAAAATCATTAAAAATAAACATCTAAAGTAGTAAAAGGATTTCTGCAAAAATATACCAAATAACTGTAGTAAATGATATTGAGGTTATTTTTTACTATTAAACAACCAGATAATAGAATTATATAATTGAATCGATAACTTATCGATCAACGCTGATACAGACTATTTGCCACTTAGAATCAGAAACACAAATTCAAGCAATAACTTGACTTGTTATAGAGGAAACGAGATATGAAATGGAATTGATAGCGAAATAACAAACACACGATAGTTTATGATTATAATAGTGTTAGCTAGAGGTAGATAAGGTTGCTATAAAAAAAAAGCCTATTAAAACTAAAATATTAAAATCAAACTAATCCGACTTTTTCCTTTCAACAGATCAGTCTAAACTAACAACGAAATTTGGAGACGAGCCGGACCTCCTGTTCAACCGAGCGCAGGGCCGGAATAGTCTGCTGAATAGTCTTGGAGCCAGCTCTGCGATTGCCGCAGCCGCCCAAGCATCAATCAACATTCAACTAGAAGCAACATTCAATGACTGTGAAAGTGGCTACGTGCCCACCGTGGGCCGTTGGGGTGCCGAATGGCCGAGCTGACTCGCCGCTGCAGCCAGCCAGGATGGTGCGGCAGCGACGCCCAGCTATGCCGTCGACGTTGATGATGTCGACGACGATGACAGCTTTGGCAGCGTCGCTGCTGGAGGCGGAGGCGGTGGCTCCGCGGAGCAGCAGCTGGCGAATGCGATGCGTGGCATGGGATTGACTACGACAGTCCATGGTGTCACAAATGAGCAAGATGATAAGCCAAGCAGTTGCGCTTCCACGCGAACCACGCCTTCGCGCACGCCCTCCACATCCAGCGAGGACGATGACGAAGAAGATGTTGAGGAGCAGCATCAGCACCAGTGGATGCCAACCGACCTGACATCGGTGGCAGCCGCATCGGAGCGCTACTCCGACATCATCCGGGTGCTGTCCAGACAGAAGTCACCCACTGTCCAGCAGCAGCGGCACCCAGGCGCCAACTGGGCCATGGCCGATGGCTATGATCTGTCGGCCTACAATCAGATCAACGGTGTCTGGCCACTGGGTCATCCTCTGCCGCTGCCCGACTGGGGCAGCGCCGATGAGCCGGCCAAGGAGACCTTAGTATTCGAGAACGTCTGGCAGTACGAGGAGCTGAATGGCATTGTGGAGACGGCGCTGCAGCGCATGCTGGAGGAGACGCACTACAACACGGTGAATCTCTTCGTGGATTTCTATCGCAGCTTCAAGCGCACACGGCGCTCCGATCTGCGCAGCTTCTTCCAGTTCTATGATGTGCCCATCAATCGACGCCATCACATGTGCGTCTCGCTGGCCTTTGAGATAATTGCGCGCCTGGTGCAGATGTTCCCCCAGCTGGGCCATCACCTCTATGTGGTGTCCTGCGAGGAGCAGGTGGCCGACTGCAATGATTATGTGCAAATGGATGAGGAGTACGGCATGAACTCGGCGGATGCGGGTGTCGAGAAGGAGCACGTCATGGTTGCCATGCGCTTTGCCATTGGCGAGCGTCGTGGTGTCATGATACTGGATCCGGGCTACCATGTGGGACGCGCCGTAACCATCATGTGCGACCAGAGCTATCCACACACAGGTGAGCAGAGCAACACAATCACTGTAAGGGAGATGTACTAAATTCTCTTCTTCTCTCTCTAGGCTGGTTCAATCAATCCAAGGAGCCGCATTTGCAGCGCGACTATTGCTATACCTTCAGCCAGCACAGCGAGAAGTTTGTGGAGTGGAAGGAGCGGGAGATACGCGGCGATGAGGCCAGTTTCAAGACATCCTTGATATACATTGCCCAGGAATATAATACCGCGGTGGATGTCACTGTGCGCCGTAATTTGGTTTACAATTTCCGCTCGCTGCTATCGCGCGACGCCAAGGGGCGCGTCTATGCGGGACTCTACTTCCCGCTGGTGGCCAATGTGCAGGAAGCGCATCTGACGCTCTTCTACGATGGACCCAATGAGCAGCGCGTCAAGGTCAAGCTTATGTTTAGCGTCTTTAAGGTGGCCAAGGGCAAGGTGAGTTGAACTATATACAATATAAACAAAAGTACACCAAATTTTAATCTATTTTCTATATCTCTATAGCAACTGCCGGACTATGTGTCGCAGCATCTGATGAAGTTGGCGCCACAGTTGAATATGTCACTGCATGAGCTGACGGAGCTATGCAAATCTCTGTGCGAAGTGGTGTCCGATCAGAATTTTATCACTCAAGTTTTGGCCATTAACGATGATATTGGCAACATGTCCATGGAGAATTGACAGTCAAAGCAGCCTAAGGATGTTGCTGCATCTCCTGTACATCAGGATGGGGAAGCAGCTTCAACTTAGACTTCAATTTTGGCAACAATTTAAATCACTATTTTTTCCCCAATTTTTCAAAAACAAATGTTTTATTTCTAGATTTTAGGCGCACTAAACAAAACTATATTTCAAGATTTATTAATATATACCTACTCATAAAGAATATATACAATTATTATAAACACACACTCACACTCTCACATACATACCAAGAAACACTTTGAAAATCCTTGTATTATTTAGCAAATGAAAATTTGATTACAAATTACAAATTATTGTAAGTACGTATATATATATTTAGAATTTCTTGTTTTTGTGCTTAGCTTCTTTTTCGATTTTCAATTTGTTCTACTTACATAAAATATATACAAATTTAAACTATACAACAATAACATTAGTTGACATAACACTTTTGTTAAATGCACTGTAATACTTTTTGTTTAATAAATAAATGCAAAAACAGCTAGATAAAATAAGTTTTTTACTCAAGTATTCAAAATATGCAAATGACATTTGTAACGTCAACTAAAATCCTACTTTTAGTATTTAAATAAATTGAATGGAAACGCCAACATTTTGGAGCTTGCGGTGCGTGGTCACACTGAAAGCCGGCAATTGAACAGCTGTTCAGATTAAGTTTCTTTGGTGGCAATTTAAGATATTTAGTCAGCTTAATGGCTCATTAAAAGTTTTATGTAATATAATTATCGAATTATTAATGTTACTATCTGAAGCACTTTAACAGTTAACAATTGTGAATTGACATTTTGTTATAATGGGTAATTTGTTGGGCAGCTAATTCACCTGTCAACACCTGTTGCTTGGCGTCGTCGGATAGCAGCAACAAAAACACAATTGAAAATTAAATTCAGGTTCTAAACTGACAACGAGCGCGCGAAACTTATAACGTTTTAGTTGTCGTTTGAATTTCCAGCGGTGCGGTTGTGTTTTGTTATATTGAGAACCGGTTTGGACCTACTAAATTGAATTGGAAACGTGACGTGCTGCGTCAAAGGCATATATAATTTGAAACTGTTTACCCATTTAAGTGAATAAAGTTGATTTTTTGTTGTCAAATATTAGCATAGGCCGAGAGTTCGGGACACGAGCGAGTGCATTGAAATCGCATTAGTCTACATACATACATACACATATTTAAGTGCATTAAGTAGAGGTTCAAGTAAATATGCATATATAACTGCAAGGCTTTGTGCACTTGTGCGCAACAATAAAAGAAATAGAAAGTTAACAAATGCAGGCAGATACTTTTTTGTTTCTTTTTGTTGACGGAAGTCGAAGAAGACGGCCTGTGCCCAGTGTTGACAGCGCAAAAAGTCACACAAGCACACACACACATGCATGCTGCCATGCACACACACACACACACTCCATGAAACTGTTTTTTGTGGACTAAGTATGTTTGGTAGCTCTCTTCGCACCTCTGGAGCTACCCATCAGAGTAACGTTTTTTTCTATATTTTTTTTTTCTTCATATGTTTGCTTTTCTACTGAGTCTATGCTTTTTTGTCGTCTGTTTCTTTCGAAGCTATTGGCCCATTCTTTGGCTCTTCAACTTTCATTCCTTTGCTTTTGACTCTCTTTCTTTAATTTGCATTTTATGTGCCGCTGTCGCTGTCGTTGTTGTTTTTTAGAAAACCAACTGCTAACTGGGCCATAATTTCATGGCTCTAGCTGATATTCATAATAAAATGATTATTTTAAATAGCCGCGAAGCTCTCCGCAGTCAACGTTAAGCAATTAAATTCAACACTAATTGGCAACGATGTGAGCAAAACAAAAAAACGAACTGAATCCAAAGTGCAGTACTTAAGTAAATAAATAAATCTATATTATATATAGTACACTTGAAATGGCTAAAAATGGGCACAGGCGGAACGAGAAGCAAAAATAGTGGGAAAAAAAATAAATAATATTTGTTGCTGACTCAAGTTGCGGACAACGAGCACAGCTGCAAGCAAATAATTGCTGCTTATAGACATTTTTCTATATATGCATAAGTACAAATATACATATTTATGATATCTATGTGAATATTCATACAGTGACTTGGGCTTATCAAAGTCAACACGACGATCTTTGCCCCTCGCCCGCTTACAAATACTTTTTGACTCAGCAACATTGATTCCTTATCTTCCACAGACAAAATACACATAATTGATTTGTGCAACATGTTGCTCTGGCTGCTTATCATTCTGACGCTGCTGTGCGGCTTTATTTTCACAAAGACAACCAAAGGCATACCCAAGTCCTGGTTCGAATGGAAGACTGAGTTCCGCTATCAGTACTTGGGCATTGCTGGACTCATACATGATGCACAATACGCCTCCAGGGATCGTGTGGGTATGTATATCTACAATTAGCTAAATCTGCTCCTACAATTATTATCAATTAACAACATTTTTATCTGATTATTGTTTTCGCTTGCAGCACTTTATAAACAACCAGATCGCATTGCTGTCATTACGGGCGGCAATCGCGGCATTGGCCTGCGCATTGTAGAGAAATTACTGGCTTGCGACATGACTGTTATAATGGGTGAGTGAATGGGCATCTGAGTACTTGACCAATTGAACTTTGTTTGGTAGCGTTGTCTGGAAACGGCTATGTAAATCAGCTCCGACCACTTGTTATTCAGTCAACACAACACACGACAAGAAATAATAGAAATAAAAGTTGGGCCAAAACGTGCATTGCCTGAGTGATTTGATCGAACAAATTTCACACATTATTTGATATTTCTACACCCACACAGTTGGAGTCCACTCTAGCAACATGTTGTCTCTCGAAAATGTTGCAGCACAAATGTTGCTGCATAGCTTTAGGGCACACAGAAATAATATTACCTTTTCGTATTTACTTTAAAGCCTGTAATAATTTAGCTTATAAAAACCCAAAATTTTAAATATTTTGTGTATAAATACCATCGTCAGTAACGCATATGCAGAAATATAATCCACTGCACTGTGAAACAGACTCATCTAAAGTCCACGTTGCCAAACAAGAAGTTTAAACTTGAACATTCTTTGCATATCATATATAGACGAAAACAAAAACAAAATTTTAAAATTAAAAATACCCCAAGCTATCGCGTGAATTGCATTGGTAATGAAACCACACACACAGTCTGCAACACACCTGAAGTCCACAATTCACAGCAACATTTTGCTAGGAACTCGAAAGGGGAAATAATTGCATATTTTTGGGCATACTGAAAAATACCTTACATTTCATATGCTAAAACAACTATGAGGGATATTTTGTTATTGTGGTATTTAATGAAGTGTGCTAAAGAGGGATTTTCTTTTCCAATGTGGTATTTTTTAATTAAGGGCAGAGAAGTTTATATAGGCTATTTATTTATATAAAAATGAAATTATTTATTAATAATTATTATTGTTTTTCTTACAGGCGTTCGGGATCCGCGCAGTGCCGAAGACGCTGTTGGCGGCATTGTCGATCTCAGCCAGACGAAAGGCAAACTGATTTGCGAACAGCTCGATGTAGGGGATATGAAGTCGGTGCGTGCCTTTGCGCAAAAGATCTCGCAGACATATGCCAAAGTTGATTTGCTGATAAACAATGCGGGCATTATGTTCGCGCCATTCAAGCTGACGGCCGATGGCTACGAATCGCACTTTGCCATCAATTACCTGGGCCACTTCATGCTCACCCACCTGCTGCTGCCGAAGCTGCGTGCGGCTGGCAAGCCGGGCAGAAATGCGCGCATTGTGAACGTTAGCTCCTGCGTGAATCTGATTGGCCGCATCAACTACAAGGACCTCAATGGACTGTAAGTGAATGATAAAGGATATCTTTGCCGGCTCAGACTCACAATGTTTCTCTCGTTTCATTAGCAAATACTATTATCCCGGCACTGCGTACAGCCAGTCGAAGCTGGCACAGATTCTGTTCACACGCCACCTGCAGACGTTGCTGGATGCGGAGAAGGCCAACGTGCAGGTGAATGTGGTGCATCCGGGCATTGTGGACACGGATCTGTTTGAGCACTCGGCCACGACGGCGGTGCCGTTCTTCAAAAAGCTCTTCTTCAAGACGCCGGAGCGGGGCTCACGCACCGTTGTCTTCGCTGCCATAGATCCGTCCATCGAGGGCCAGGGAGGCACCTATCTGAGCAACGGCGGCAAGGGACCCTTCCACGCGGACGCCAAGCAGCCGGCCAAGTGCGAAAAGTTCTTTGAGCACTCCTGCGCGCTGCTGAAGATCAAGCAGTACGGCAACGGCGAATATCCACTCTAATATTATTTATGTATGACATTTGCTAACATTCCCCAACTGGTGCAACGTAATTTTCTGTTAAGTAATTTCATGTTTAATATCATCTTATATTAAAAAAAAAAAGCTAAAAACAAGAATAACACAATTTGAATAATTAAAAAAATGTATTTGTTTTGTTTTGCAAGCATGTTGCATGCCTTCACTTAAAGTCGGATAATGTCGGATAAGTGTGGATAACAAGGTATAACTCCAAATGTATTTTAATTCAATTACGAATAGTTTCAAAATAAATATGTTACGCTACTCAGAATAGTCGATCTATCTATGTGGATGAAGATGCTAAAGCCAACAGCATAACATATCTCTATGGATTTTTATTTTAATTAACTTGTCTGCGGTGATTGCCATCAGCAGCAACTGGAGGAGGAGGAGGAGGAGGAGGAGGTGGCGGAGGAGGAGAAGCTGCGACAGCAGCAGACCAAAAAGTGCAATTAAAAAAACAAAAGTGCAGCAATAGCAGCAACAAATCCACTTCGATATTTCTTGGCGGCAGCTTAAAAGACGTCGTTACTGCAACAGCAACAGCAACAACTGCAACTGCAACAGCAACTGCAACAACAGCAACATCATCAACAACTATTATATGTCAAATTTACAAACAATTTAATTTGTGCTCCTCCTCAAACAATGAGCGATTAACATTCAACATTTATGCGGAATTTTAATCGACTTGCGTGCAGAGTGGAGAGTGGAGACTGCAGCGAGTGGAGAGTTAAGAGACGTGCATCCAGCTAGGTGGCCAGATGGGTGGATCAATCCAGCGCAACAGCAACGACAATTCCAGTCATACGAAAGAGACAGATGTAACTGCAGATGATCGAATAAGTAATACCCTATGCGGACTTTGTCTTTTAGTATATGAAATACTAATATCAGATGATATTATATGTATTATAATAATATGAAATGATATAGGGCAATCATAGCAGTTCTACATTTTTCTGTTTAATATCCATAATGAAACGATTTAATGAGACAAGAATTATTCATTGCAATGATACTCATCCATATACCATATGCTCTATAGTTACTTAGACAGCTCCTTCTCTTTTACATTATGATAATACCCTCGGCGAGGGTGTTAGACTTCAGTTGGCTTGTCACTTGAGTTGCTTTTGAACTTCATGGCGCTGTCTTCACCTATTGAAGTCCCTTCTATTCCAACAGAGCTGAGAAACAAAAACATATCAATGTCGAATGTCGAATCTTGAGTGCTGAATGCTGAATGCTGAAATGTGTAAAGCTGCCGTCGAATTCCATTTGTTTTTTCGTTTTTATCATTATCGTGGGCGCAGCCATCAATCAAGAGAGGCTCCCAGGCCCCAATGAAGTCATCTGCGCCAATGTGGGATCTCGTTGCGTGCGTGTTTAGCGGACATTAAGAGTGTTGATTGGATTGGATAATGGCTGCTTGCATTGGGTCTGTCTATATTAAAAAGAAGTATAAAAGATAACAAGATATCATCGGCAAAGGTAGAGCACATCTCGTTGTGGGAAACTGGTTTACTAGGCCCATCAACAGCTAAATACAAATCCATGTGAGGAAAAAAGACCCTGCATTAGGCAGGGAGTGAACGACTATGAGTTACCTCTATTCTATTATTAAGATTATACTACATTTTTAATTGGAATGATGTGGGTTAAGCTAACCAATAAATGACATAGCCCTAGATCTTAAGATATATTTAGCAAAACTTCCGAGTCTCTAGCTTTTGTAGTTCCTGAGTTACTAAAGAACAAACAGAAGTCAGTTCATTTGCCTTATCTATAATATATATAGTTATATATTATTGCATTGAAAAGCATTATACCCCACTTGCCCTTGCTTAGGGTATAAAATATAGTTTAAATTGCAGATATACTCAGTATATGAATCATGAGCGACAGGAAGAAGAAGACACCTTGAATTCCATTAAACGACTTTTGGGGTTTTTAGAGATTAGCACCTTGGGCACCTAATGTGCTGCTTAAAGTATTTTACAAATGTGCAGCACATTAATTTATTATTATTATTATAATKGTAATTGATATTGAGGCAAGTAAACTACTAAGTTTTGTTTGAAATATATGTGGGTCTAATTAAAGATATATATTAAAGATATATGCATATCAAACAGAAATTTCAAATATATATATGTAATTATACATTTTTATTGTCATTTTACCTTATCATGTCTATCCATTAATTTTTATACATTTTGCAGAGGGGGAAGGCGAAACAGCAGTCGATAATGAACTGAATTAAGAGAGTAACAGAGAGAGGGTTATGTTAGAGCAGAGAAGAACTTAAGAAAGCTACTACGTAAGCAAGCTACTCACATTTTGTGGAGTAAATCTTGTTTTAATGTATTATTTAATGTTAATCAGAATATACATAATCTTTTGATTATATCATTTAATACAAAAAATATATGTAGATAGTCTTCTACCGAACTTCTTTATAGATATATTAGAAAGTGTAATATATATTTGAAAATTATTATATCATACAAATGCGAATCAATATAGTTTAGTATAATATTATAAACAATTATCACTTCGGAATAGCAAAGACATTCTTTAGTATCAACTTCATCTACAGAGTTCCTCAGGTCTGCTCTGAGAAAATGCTGTGATGCATAGATCCGTTTGGGTTAATTGTTTATTCATGTGGCAATAGCGCGATAAAGCACACGCTTCATTCCTGGTCGTCGGCGTGCCATTAATTCTCCAGAGTTTCTACATAGCTCTGCATTGCCCATCTGCTTGACCATCTCTGTGGGGGCTGACCCCCTGTCCAGCTCCCACTCCCCCCTCTCTTTGCCGTTGAGTTAATGTGCTTTTTATTTAAATTTCGGTTCGCTTGAAATACAATTTGCTTGCATTTATCTGGCGGCGAATTCTTTGCAACAATTTGCTGCTCCAATTAAAGCCTTCAGCAGCTGCCGCATTCGTTGCAGCTCCAACTGAAACATCTTCTTCTAGCCAAGCGCGTCCGTCTACATTAATCATGTGTTGAGATTTATGGCGACGCTTCGCCCACGCAGCACGTGTTCATTCCATTTCATTCCATTCCATTTCGTTCCATTTGCATTCGCAGTCTGCAGAGTGCAGCGTGAATTGTGCATGTGGGCGAATCGGCCTACCCTAATCTTCTATCACTGCGCAACGCCCACCCCTCTTGCATGCTCATTGTTGCAAGTTGCAAGTTGCAGGTTGCAAGCTCGTTAGCAGTTAGAAATTAAATTTATTGAGCAAGCTGCCAGGTTGCACACCTGTAATTGAGTAGAAATTGCGCTGATGGTGGGTGGGGTCCCAACGGGCGGGGGCTGAGCTGCCAATTGCTAAAGTTTAAAATATAGCTTAGACTTGTAAAGCATAGAATTCCATATTGTGTGATATTACTCGATTTAATTTGAAGCATATTTGATTATATTTTTATATTTATTTTTTGTTCATTATTTTT